TTTTTTTTTTTTAAATTCTGGAACTCTCGAGTATGAGTCCTAGTAAAAAATGTATGTGTATTATTTATATGAAGCTCTTATGGAGCCTTTTGATCACAGGGATTGTAAATACATACACTAACCTCTATATCTGATACTTTAGCCATGCTTCATAGGAAAAGCCATAATTGCAATAGTAAATATTTAACAGAAAATATAGAAAAGCACGATAGATCCCCTTTAAACTTGGGACAAAAGGTTAGTTTGTTTAGAACTCCAGGGAGATGAACCAGTAAAGTAGAAATGACTAACTGCAATACTAAAACATTCAACATCCTTGGTTAATCGTTCTCTTCTGAGAGTACATGAAAAAGTAAAAAATAAAGTCTCCCAGTAATGAAATGATTGTAATTGTCTGTTCCCAACAGAATGGTTTTCTGTCGGCTCTGCCTTACTTGGGATGTGCTGTGGTCGCTGTGCTGAGCGGCCAAATTGCCGACTATCTGCGAGAAACCCGCAAATACCGCACTGTCATTGTCAGGAAGTCCTTCACCCTCATTGGTAATTCATGACAGTCACTGCTGAATCCTCGACTTTTAACTGACTGCAGGCTCTTGACATCAAAAATATTACCAGTATTGCTACTTCACAGTTGTGTTGTTTCTGTAGGGATGATTGGGCCTGCAGTGTTCCTGGTGGCAGCAGGTTATACAGGCTGTGACTACACCTTGGCTGTGACCTTCCTCACCATCTCCTCTTCTCTCGGAGGAGTGTCGGCATCTGGCTTCAACATCAACCACCTTGACATTGCTCCTTCGTAAGAATAACACCTCAGAAAACTGTTGGATGCTACTACTACTACTACTAATAATAATGATAATACTTCAGTCATTTTAATTTTGAATCATTTTCAGTGTGAAGATGAGAGATTATGGTTATAAATGTGTAATTCAGTGTATCTTCAGGTTCAGATATCTTTGACATATTGAAGTTTCCCTCTGGCCTGTTGTTATCAAGATAATAATTTTAGGCATCAACATAGCCCATGAGATAATGGAGGATATTTCTTTTTATAAATATAATTACATTTCATTATCAGTGTAGCAACATTATGTACTACATAGTGCTTTTATCGGGTTTATTACTCAGGACTTAATGTTTTTATTTGTC